TAGATTTTCATACTAAGAACCAGCACTGAACATTTGAAATTGATCCATCAAACAGTTAGCCTGAAAAATGTAGACAAGCATACTAAGAATCATCCTTGAAATTTTAAAATTGATCTACAGTACCAAATGGTTCACCTGAAAAGGCGTAGACAAGACTTTACAAACAAGATTCTAGGACGGAAAAATCCAAAATGGCAAACATTAAAAAAGATTTCTTTTTACAAAATTATCACATACAACTACTTTTAACAGTAACATAGACTTTTACAACACAGGACACCTGAAATTATCTATAAAGCAGGTAGGTACGAAAAATTTCGAACGGAATGCGTGACATATACGTAATTCGCGTGAAAAGTCCGAACGATATGCGTACGTTTTTTTCCGGCATTCATATTTTTGCTGTGTAGACGATCTTTTTTAAAAAAATTTCTACAGAAATATTTTTGCTTGACAATTACCAGGTAAAATGCGTATTTGCGTGACATTTTCTGTCACGCAAAAATAACTGGCGTGACTTCAAATTCTTCAGCAAATGCGTGACAAATACGCAAATTGCGGGACAGTTGACAGGCCTGATAAAGCTACTAAATAGTTAAACTGTGAAAACTCAAAAACACCATTATAATATGATACAAAGTATTATCTCTCACCGACATTTCTTAAGACATTCAAAATGGCTGCCATGACTGAGCAAACAGGTCCAAAATATAATCAGATGTAGAATGAAGTGGGTTGAACAAGATGTTAAAGTTTTAAAAGTAACTGAGGTTTTTCTTGAAGTTTGCAGACAAGGATTTTAGCATTAGACTACGAAATAACACGCGAAATTGACGTTATTCATGACTGAGATCGGGAAGACAAAATTTGAGATTCACAAACAAAATTGCTTGTGAAAACTATTTACAAAAGTGTTCCAGATCTTGGCTAAGGTTTTATTTGAAGATACATTGCCTTATTAAGCAGGTAGAGGGGCAGACAGAACACGGACGCAAATGCTATGTTGAAAATGTTCTATATTTCAGTTTGAACATGTTATTACATGTCACGTAGGCCAGTGTTTTATATGGGGATTATATGTACTTTACTTGCTGACATGAACGTAAATCATTACATGAAATCTGCAGTCTTCCAGGTTATATCTGGGTTTGTATTGTCTTATTGGGGCTTTTCGACTTTAAAACAAACTTTACCTAAATGGATTTGTGTCTCGGGAACATTTTTGTAAATAGTAATTATAAACAATTCTGAAAGAATATCACATATTTTTGTCTTCCCGATTTCAGTCATGAATTACGTCAATTTCACGTGCAAACGTTGGGTAGACAGTGTCATTACCGGATGCCTAAACGTGTCAGTAACACAAAGATACTCGAATGATGTTGATTGGACATCAGGGTGCAGAGAAATCGTAATTTTACTGAGTGGCTTCACAAAAAAAATAAGCAGCACTTTAAGCCACCTTAAGAAGAAAACTGTCAGACATACAGACGGACGGACAGACAGATGCGCCTAGGCCGACAATATGGGCCACACTAAGTGGTTGGGACATAATAAATGTTAAAATGGCAGTCATTTTTCAAAATGGCCACCTACTACTCAAAGTGTCATTAGACGGTGCGCCATGCTTATAGTATTTACATATCAAATATGAGCAAAATCACTACAACTTTTCGAGTTATAGTTAAAAACGTAAAATATCACATGTAAAAATGGCAGCCATTTTTCAGAATTAGACACTGTGCCATGCATATAGTATTCACATATCAAATTTAAACAAAATCCCTCCACTAATTTTCAAGTTACAGCAAAAATCGTAAAAAATAGTGTGTAAAGGCCGCCATTTTCTAAGATGGCTGCCATGTGCTTCTTAAATATCTACATCTCTAGCTTAATTTATGTCCTTTGTGATTATGATTTATGATTGTGAGTTCATTATTTATGCAAATTATTTTTTATCCTGCTTAAGATGGTCAATTAGTATGAAGTTCACTATTTATTAGACATTTTGCAAGATATTTGGAATTTATTTGTGATTTCAAGCCCCCTATTCAATGTTGTGTTTACCTATTAGCTTTTTTGAATCACATTGATACCAATGGAAAAATTCAACAACATTGCTCATGTATCATTCTATAGATCAAGAAAGTATGGCAGTGATTTGTCTAATAATTGTGACGAAAAATAATCACAAGAACCTCACCACTTCTTCAACACGGGTAGGGGGTGGTCATTTTGAAAAAGTATTTTTCAAGTACATGATTTGTGCAAACTCCTTTTTATCATGCCTAAGATGGTAAATTGATTGAAAATTTTATATGCTCTATTAGTACAATAATGTCATTTCTAAGGGCGATATAGTGAAATATTGGACCGAGGGCCGAAGGCCCAAGGTCCAATATTTCACTATATTGCTCGCAGAAATGACGTTATTAGTATTATTACCACCGTTAACGACCAGGACTGAAACAGCAAGAAAATCTTACGCATTGAACGATATCTATCTATCCCGGGGAAAATTGCCGGTCCAGAATATATTCTAGACCGGTCCATATGGACCACCACTATGACGTCACACATTTCTCAGGTCGATATAGTAAAATAAACGCCTTCTAAACTAGCACTAAAACCCCTAGAACTGGCCCGGCAAGGTGGTAATAATAGCATTTTACATGATATTTTGAATTAATTTGTGATTTTAAGACTTTTACTATCCCCCGATTCAATGTTCAGTATACCTAATTCTAATTCTAAGTCTTTTCTCATTACTTTTTTTTGAGTGCATGGACGTTTATGAATAAAATCCACAAAATTATGGAATGTTTTCTGCTTCATTATTCGTATTTTACTATACGTATTCGTAAATTGAACTTCTGTACTTGTTAAATACACATTTATGTTCGTAACTTGAGTATTTTCATTCATTGTTTGCCTTTTCTGTTCGTTAATCTATTTTGTTTCGTTAAAACGTATATGTATGTGTTTTATACTGAAATACATTCAAAAGTCCTTAAATGTATTTGTTAGGGACACATTGTTTATCCGTATACAAATAAAATGAGTTCATTTGTACCTTTATCATTGTTTCTGCAAATATATTAATTTGATATCTATGAACTGAATGTCGAATTTATCAATGAATAAGTACTAGCCTTGGCATTTTTATTTTTTAATTGTCGAATTTATTTTCGTAACAAGGTTATATGTTTTCGTAAAAATGCACATTTATTGTTCGTAAATATTGTCATTTGTATTCGTAAATTGCTCTTTTATATTCGAATTTCATTGGTTTATTAAGATCACGTGATCATTCTGAACGAGATATAATCAACCCATGGTCAAAGTCATCACCCCCTCCCCCACACATGTCATGTCACGTGACCTTTGCCTCGAGACTTGCAGTTTATATTCGTTAATTCACATTTGTATTTGTAAACTCACATTTATATTCGTAAAGTTTCATTTTATCATTCGCTAATGTACAAATATTCCTTTGCTTTCTGCAAAAAGTCATGGGTAATATGCAAGATTATTATTGGTAAAAATACTTCTCTTCGATAAAATAACAGGCAATTTTGGGGAAATTTACGAATTGTAAGCTGTAGTTGGAGAAAAATAAATTGTTAGTTACAAATATTTCTAGTCCTTACAAACATAAAATGCACCCAAATTTAGTATCTGCTTGTTTATTTGATACTTAATATTTGTATTTGTAATTTGGGAATTTTATTTGTAAATGTTACATTATATTCGTATAAGGGAATTTATTCCAAACGAATAATGAAGCAGTTATGACGCTATACAAAATTGCTCAAAAATCATTGGATAAATCCAGGAAATATGACAGTGATGTGTCTAATCAATAAGAAGAAAAAATGATAACAACCCCACCACTTCTTCAACAGCACCTCGGAATAGCCTGACGACGGTAAAGTCAGATACCGTCGTCACAAATGGCAGACCTTACCGTCGCTTCAATTAGATTTTCATGAATTGTACATGTATGTTTAATAGACCACCTAGACTGAATTCCTTTGGAACAACAATCAATCAAAGTGTCTTAATACTCATTGTACAGTTAATAATAATGTTCTACCATCGAAAAAGGTCTTTAATTTAACCGATCAAACTGAGATACGGGACAACAGACATTGTAATTACCATATGCCGTTGTCTTTGTAAATTATGTCAAATTCAGATTCCATTGTCAATGACGATATCGAAGACGCTATATCATAGCGATTAGCGACCCAATTTGATCAAAATTGACTGACTTTACCGTTGTCAGGCTATTCCGGTGTGCAAGGGCACCCCAGGGGAATGATTAACTAACGAGTATAGTGTTACAAGCCAGATAAAGAAACTGAAAAAGTGTACTAAATTTAACGCCCTGAGTGGAAATCAAAGCTAGGACCCTTGGATCCAAAGACTCTAGGGACTGAGCTATGAAGGCTTAAGTAGCTACTTGCTATCTAGGGTTGTTACACTATCTCCCCCCACCTTTGAAAGGACCACACTTTCGTCGTCAGTTTTGATTTCCCTAGCAGTCACATACAAAACACACAAGGGGGCAAAGGATACAAACAGTATTTTGAACCCACATCTGGCACCAATGTAATCACCCAAAGGCACCCCAGGGGAATGACTAACAACTAACGAGTATAGTGTAACAAGCCAGATAAAGAAATTGAAAGAAAGTGTACTAAATTCAATACCCTGTGTGGTAATTGAACCTAGTGGATCCAATAACTGATGTTCTACCAACTGAGCTATAAAGGCTTAGTCACTACAGGTGGGTTGTAGTAGCAACTTACTTTCCAGGTTCGTTACACTTTTATGAAAAAAATTTGAGTAAAAATTGGAATAATCACAAAAAATTCAGGATTTGTTCTGATTTAAATTGGGACTTGACAGGTGAGGTATTAATTATACAAATTTTGTGACAGTATACAATACTATCTTTAAGTTAGCTAGATAAAAAGATAAAAATAATTCCTTACCTTTTAACACTTTTATCATTGGACATCGACTTTGACAGTTTTTGAGCATCAGTCTTTGCTTTCCTCAGGTGGGTCTGCTTGCTTTCAAATGTGGAGGACTTCATGTAAGAAACTATGCTCTGATACTGGGTATCTGAAAATCTGAAAGAATGCATAGAAGTCATTTTGCAAACAATAATACATGTAAATATATCAGAAGGTTCTACATTTACTGGCAGTGTTTATCATGCAGTGTAGCATAGTATATTACAAAAAAACGCAACCCAAATGTAAATGGGCGATGGAAGGCCGTGGGTGGCGAATAAAATACAACAGAAACTATGATTTAAAATGTCTAAAAAAGTCTATTTCAAAATCTGATACATGTATCTCTGCAACAATTGACTAACTAACTGAATTATCTGGGCAACACCCAAACTCAACTGAGGGAGTGAATGTGATCTATATATACGATATATATACAGGGTGTCCCGAAAGTATTGGGCCCCCCCTAGGCAGAGATGTACCAGTGTCGTCATAGTATGTGTCATATATCATTTTAAAGCTTATGCAAAGTTACATTGATTCACCAAGTATCATGGTTCAACTCTCAAATGTGAAAAAATTACAGGCATTTCAAAATTTAGTGTTTGGTCAAAATTAAGTTCAATTTTACACCAAATCACGAGTCAATGTGTCCTCCCGGGCCATGTTAACAGCAGCAATTCTTTTCGGGTCGGATGGATATTGAGTTGGAAAAAGAGAATGGTGAGGGTAGAAACTCTAAGGAAACACTTCTAAAGTCCCTTAACAGGTTTTAAGAGGGTTATAAAGTTCCACACTCCTATTTGAAGGACTTTTAAGGTCATATCTGAAAATAATTGCCGCTGTTAACATGGCCAAGGGGGGACACATTGACTAGTAATGTGGTGTAAAATTGAACTTAATTTTGACAAAACACTAACTTTTAAAATGACTGTAACTTTTTCCCATTTGGGAGTTAAACCACGATACTTGGCAAATCAATGTAACTTTGGACAAGCTTTAAAATGATATATGACACATACTATGAGGACACTGGAATATGTCTGCCTAGGGGGGGCCCCATACTTTCGGGACACTCTGTATATATATATCGTATAACATGAAGACATGAATGAAAAGTAAAAACAAACACAGCATGAAACAACATACAAAACTGGTTTAAACAATAGAGCATATATACAAAAGTGACTTGCAAACAACATGGTTATAAATATCTGAAATACTGGATGTAAAAGTCACTGGCATGTAGCGGCCCTGATATCGATAAATTCTACACGCAGTATAACCCGATTCTACATGCTTGGTTAAAACTTTACACGAAAAAGCTTCGATATCCGGGCATTTACTCTTACACTGAACTGAAAATAGCATCGTCTAAACGTGTATGTGTTGGCTTCCGGGTAAGTTTATCAACATTTATACTCAATTGAAAGAGCAGTCGTGCTCATATCGTGTACCAGTTTGATTTATTTATATGTGCGTGTATTTATAACATGATAGCCTAGTAAAACCGTGTCGTTAGAACAACTGCTAGATATCGAACTGATGACCTGAAATTACATTATTGGACTGATCGCGCATCTGATATTAAATGATTAATTTGCATTGAATCTGATATTAACTTGCAACCAAATACCATGACTTTACATTTGAATGATAACACGGGCGCCTCATATTCTAATCCATTATACGTCCATTGCAGGCCAAAAATGTTTCAATGTGGATATTGTAATGCACACAAGAATACATTCGATTCGTATATTGATCATACATCAATTGAACGTGGAGATTTTCCTGTACACTTTTCCCAAACCTGTGGAATAGACAAGATGCGAGTAGAAATTATCTTGATTTACGTCATCAAATATTCAATATTCATTTTTTGAAAAAATTCGAAACCATCGAATATCACTTTTCAAACCATAGAATATCACTTTTTAAGACGTGATATTCGATAGTTTAAAAGTGATATTCGATGGTTTGTAAATTGTTTGCTAAAATATGATATCTTGGTCCACATATCAAATATATTATCATGTGATATTCGATCTATATCATTGCAACCATGGGATATAGAGGATATCCTATGATTTATGAGAGATATGATTTTTATCCACGAATGCATATGATATCTGCACGAGCGAGCGTAGGATGTTCTTTTTATTCCATAGTAAAAGTCATCATCAGAATCGTTGGAAATTAAGTGATTTAAATCGAATTTTCCTATCCGGCGATGTTGACACTTAGCCTCATTTTGAGTCTGAAGTAGCAAAAATCCATAAACCATCGCATACGACGCCGTATGTCATGACTAAAAAACCATATGCTATGGTTAAGTGAAAATTTGCCAAAAATATCATATTTTACCACTGATTACAAAAATACCGTTTTTATTTTCACATGTTATCCTATGAATATTATGCTGACTATGGAATAAATAAGGGTTATGTACTGGGAGGTTTTGGATACAGGGTTTATCCAAAGGGAAATATGTGTATCTCACGAGGGACCGAGGGAGATACACATATTTCCCACGGGATAAACCCAGTATCCAAAACCGACCGTACATAACTGGTGTATCTCATACTTGAGTGGGTTTGGGGTAGATATAACCTTTACCACCTTTTTCAAATGACAAGATAGGCCTATACTGTAAAAGCACAATTTATATTTAACATTTTTATAATATTCCTTCAGTTCAATACAATAGAATTGTAACATTTAAACTTTTTCAAAAATTTTAGACATTTTAAACCTTTGAAAAAATTCCCGGGAGCGGGATGGATATATTATATCTGCCCGCATTTGGCCTAGAGCGGGACATACAATATATCCTGCCCGCTCCTCAGATATGATATATATTCCCGGTGATATCTACCCCAAACCCACTCAAGTATGAAATACATAAGGGTTATGCACTGGGATGTTTTGAATACAGGGAATATCCGAGGGATATACAATATATCATCCCAAGGGACCGAAGGGACCAAGGGAAGATGTATTGTATATCCAAAAAAAATTCCAACATTTTTTTTCATATTTTTTTTCCCAAATTTTTTTCCCACATTTAAAAAAAATATATTTTCAAAACTTTTTTTTCAAATTTTTTTCCCGAATTTATTTTTAACATTTTTTTGAGCGGGACATACGATTTATATGTCCCGGAGCTCCGTCGGAGCGGGACATATGAAAAATATTTGCCGGATATGGAATATATTCCCGGTATATACATAACTGCTTTATCCTATACCAAGTAGAGTTTTCAGGGGCATATGGCCATTTCAATAGTACAAGGTGTAAAAATAAACAAATCGTTCATATGCAAAGTCATTTTATTGCATTTCCACTTTTATTGGGAAGATGGAAGATATGCACCGAAGCGGGAAGATATGCACCGAAGCGGGAGATATGGAGGTTCTGGATATGGAAACCTCAAAATCCGGATACGGGATATATCTTACCAACTTATCTCCCTAAAACTCTACTTGGCATAGGATAAATAAGGGTTATGTACAGGGAGGTTTTGGATATGGGGTTTATCCAGAGGGAGATATGCATATTTACATGAGGAACCGTAGGGACCGAAGGTAGATGTGCATATCTCACGAGGGATGAACCCCATATCTAAACCGACCGTACATAACTGCTTTATCGTATACCAAGTAGAGTTTTCAAGGGCATATAGCCATTTCAATAGTACAAGGTGTAAAAATAAACAAATCATTCATATGCAAAGTCATTTTATTGCATAACCGGAAGCGGGAAGATATGCACCGGAAGTGGGAAGATATGCACCGAAGCGGGAGATATGGCGAGAGATATGGAGGTTCTGGATATTGAAACCTCAAAATCAGGATACGGGATATATCTTACCAACTTATCTCCCTAAAACTCTACTTGGCATATGATAAATATAGGTTATTTACTGGGAGGGATTGAATATGGGTTTTATTCCGAGGAACAATATGATATTGACTGAAGGGTAATGTAATATTGACCGAGAGCGCAGCGACCGAGTGTCAATATCATATTGCCCAAGGTCAATATCATATTTTCCGAGGAATAAAACCCATATTCAATCCTGACCAGAAATAACCTATTTATTCCATAATACATCCCTCTAGAATGTTACATTTGGATAATGCAAACGTTATATTAATTGTTTGAAAAATGAAATAAATAAATAAAATAACCGGGAAACTAAAAAATAGGTCAATACGCTCCAATACGATTTTTCCACGGGGACAATACGATTTTTTCATGTAATACGCTCCAATACGATTTTTTCCCAGGGACAATACGATTTTTTCATGTAATACGCTCCAATACGATTTTTTCCCGGGGACAATACGATTTTTTCATGTAATACGCTCCAATACGATTTTCTCCCGGGGACAATACGATTTTTTCATGTAATACGATTCAATACGATTTTAATTCCTTCATATTTCCCTGGGAAAACAGTAGTATTATGGAATAAAATATATTTTCCCTCGGGACCTGCGGCCCTCGGACAGATATATTATATTTGCCTCGGGGTAATCCCAATATCCTGAACCTCATATAGGATAATATCTATATCTACCTGATGGACCATAGGGACCGAAGGTAGACGTGCATATCTCACGAGGGATAAACTCCATATCCAAACCGACCGCACATATCTGCTTTATCATATACCAAGTAGTTTTCTAAAAAATTAATCTTATATAATGGACGATAAATATATATATTTATCCCATACTTGGACGTGTTACGGGTACATAAAGCCGGTTTGTAAAAACTTATATTTTCATCAGCGGGCAAATATAGCTTTACGTCCCGCTCCGAGCGGGCAGATATAGTATATCTGCCCGCTACGTCATAATCGCTGTTCCCGTATTGGTTCTTTTTTGTAACGTTCGCATACTGTGAACGACAATGGAGAAAAATGCAGACAATCGCGATCTGTTTGATGCTTTAAAGAAGGGAAGGAGCAGTATGCCCCGTTAATAATCAAAGAATACAAAACTGGACATGAATATTTTAAAATGATTCCATGGTTGGTTGCAAAGCTTTGGCCAATTGAACAATGTGATTGGTATTGGATAAACAGATCATCCTATAGTCGGTTCAGGATATTGGAATTATCCCTTGGCCAATATAATATATCTACCCTCGGGACCTACGGCCCTCGGGCAGATATATATAGGATAATCTCTATATAGTTTAGCATGATATGTACTTCTTTCTGTAACTTGAATACGATTCTAATATACAAGCAACACATACGTATTCCCGGGAACCATAAATCTTTTGTGTAGGGTGTGGACATTTTTCTTTTCATTTCTCTAAAATCAGATTATTTTCATGAAACCCATACAAAGTTGGGCCTAAGCCTCTATTTTCGTATTCTGCATGTTAAGATATTTATAATGTAAAACCTAAGAGATAAATTCAATGTCTTCAGTTGAGAATAAGTATAAGGTAAATGTGTGAATTCTGCTTGTTGTTGCACTATTTTTATAATAAACAAGGTTCGATACGCAACACTGAATAGACTGCAGTCATAGCTTAGTTGTAAAGAAAACAAAAGAAGTTGGGACGTGGTCATGCTTGATTATGTTTCTTTTATATATCACCGTTTGCATTCGTTGAAATCGGCCTGCATTGATTTCAAGAGGTGGTCGGTGTACAAGGTCATATGTTTGAGTTATTGGTTTAATGATAAATGTGACCCTTGAATGCGTTATGCTTTATGTATGCGTGAAAGAAATACTCCAATGGCCTAATCTCAATTTGTCTACAAACAATATAACATTGAAATGATGGTCATCTGCATATTAACTTCCGCACCACAAGTCTAACTTCGACACAATTCAGTAAAGTATCCAGTATCGCTATAATCGCTACATGCCAGTGAAAAGTAGTTGATGCAAGAGGATTATAAAAGGACCTGTTAAAATGAACAAGGAAACAAATGGGGATTGATCAATATGAAATAATATGATTCAAATGACCATGTTACACAAAGAAATTGCTATATCTTGAAAAATACTGGTTCAATTATGTTCATATTTTCAGGAAATAAAGAAGAGACTGTGTATGTATAGCTCCTGTAAATGATTAATTGTAAAACATGATGCCTTGGACACCTGCTCAAAAGACAGTTGTACTAGGAAAATACGAAAAACGCAGTCAGAAGTGACTACAACCGCAAAAAAATTAAATCACTTCCTAATCATAGTGTTTTGGCTCTTCAAATTTGGCACAAATCATCTTCATTCTTTGTATGGTAAATCTGTAGAGTGAAATCAAAATCACTCTATCAGGGACTTTACAGTTATGGTTGAAATGCTTTCAAATCACAGTCAAACGCCCTGGTTCAGGGAGACTTGAAAGGAATTTTGACCATGACTGTAAAGCCCCTGGAGTGATTTTGATGAAACTCCACAAATTCACCACACATTGAATGAGGATAATTTGTGCCAAATTTGAAGTGCCAAAACACTATGGTTAGAAAGTTATTTGGTTTTATTGCTGTGGCAGTCACCTCTGACTGCGTCTTCATATTTTCCTAGTACAACTGTCATTTGAGCAGGTGTCCAAGGCATCATGTTTTACAACTTACTGACAACAGGAGCTATACATACACAGTCTCTTCTTTCTTTTCCTGAAAAAATGAACATAATTGGATTAGTATTTTCCAAGATAAAGTGATTTTCCATGCGCGTTTTTCGTATTTTGCTAGTACAACTGTCTTTTCAGCAAGTGTCCAGGACATCATGTTTTACAACTAACTAACAACAGGGGCTATACATACACAGTCTCTTCTTTCTTTCCTGAAAATATGAACATAATTGGATTAGTATTTTCCAAGCGATTTCTTTGGGTTGCGTTTTTTTTAACACCCTGTATATCCTGGAACGTGCCTCGTTCGCAATTTCATTTATTTGGCATTCAGCTTTTTATCATATACAGTTTTGTACACCCCATACACAGCCAATCTCCAATGGTACCGTACGGTACCGTTTTGGCTATGTACCGTGAAATATGGTACCATACGGTACCATAAGCTCAAACACGGTGCCGTATGGTACCGTGTAGATGGTACTGTATGGTACCGTGAGAATACGGTACCGTATTGCTCAGACGGTACCGTATGGTACCATTTTTTAATATGGTACCGTACGGTGCCGTTCTAGTCTTATAATTTCATGATTAAAATTTTGTATGAACTTTTCGGGGATCTATTATTTCAAATTTGGGATAATGATCAGTCAGTCCTACTTTTTTTGAAGGTTATTAAGATTATATATATCAGGTTAATTATGAATAGATATCTGTTTTTGCTCTCCAATGTCATTATAATGACATATTATAGTCCATTAAGCAGTAACATATGTTTACATTTTTAACATTTATTTTATACAGTGTAGTGTTGACAATGTATTGAACATAACAGACAAAGTAATTTTAATAATTCCTCTGTATTTTATTATATAAAATGTACTCCTCGTTTCTTAGTAAAAGATATGAAATAGGTAAAAACTGTTTTACCTCCACATGTCAATGCCAAATATTGGGCCTTTGTTTTACCAATACTTATTTTTTTATCTCTTTCAATTGATACTGAAAATCCCTTTTTTATAAATTGAGTAATTTCATTACAGATCCTCAGTTTTTTTGCAAATGGTTCTGTACCTGGGTGCACTGCATTACTATGGATTACGTAACATAACCGTTGATTTTAGGTTTAATAAACCACAGTGTCAATGTACACTGCCAAAATAACTCCATGCTAAATCAGCGCTAATCTTTTTTCGCGCTGATTTAGCACTGATTTGGTACGGAATTGGTACAAATAATGTTTGTGTGGAATTAGCGCTAATAAATCAGTACCAAATCAGTACAAACCTCAGTTAGTGCGAAATCAGCACTAACTTAGCAATGCTTCTTTAAAAATATATTTTAACAAATCCTTATTTACATATCATACATTTAAGTTCATCAACTATGGAGCTCATGATGTGAACAAATTGCTGAAAAAGGTGTCTGGGTCTGAGAAAGTTTACTCCCTTTACAGAATATGAAATGAGGACCATGCAAAGCCCCTGATGTCATTTTGTTTGTAGCATTCTGATTAGACAGATTTTAGTGAATTATAATGAACAGCATACTACACTAAGCTCTCATATGATATAGCTACATGTACATTATGAAAGTAATTTTCACCTTGCTAGTGAGAGATATGCATCTAGAGCTGATGATCTGCTTTCCTTGATGTCTGGGTTCTCCCAAAGCTTCACCGCCCTCTCCAGGTACTGGTCCATTATAACAGTAGGGTTCTCAGACCTTGTTTCTGCAAGCCAGTTACCATAGATACCCAGGGCCAAAGGGTATAACAAAGCCGCAGATTTATCAACATCTTTAGCCTAAAAATACACCTACATTTGGAAATATCAGTAAACAAGAAAACAGCCACTCTGCAAGTCCAACAGAATAAAACATATACAGGGTGGTCAAAAAAAATGGAAACCCTATTACCATTTCCCTCATATCTTTGTTATTTTAAATAAAAATTAGTACCGTGGGTACTGGGCTCACATGGTGTTGCTCAAAAGTGAAAATAAAAAAGACGGGTATAATTTTTTGCAGATTTTTTGTGACAAAATTATTTCATACAACTACTCTTTACAAAGACATGGCTTTTTACAATGCAGGACACCTGAACTTATTTGTAAAGCTAGGAAATGGGCCAAAAGTGAATTTCCTGAGACAAAAATGGTGGCCTTTTGAAATTAGGCGAGATTTTGAAGCAGGAGTCACAGGTTTTTTTTCTTTATTGATGTTGAACAAAATTATTTTAAATCGGGAATCCTATCTACAGAGGATTTAAAGTGTTGACAGAGGTTTAAAACTTGCCACTTTTTTGGACTGACTGAGAGACAGATGGACGAATCAATGTTAACTAAAATGGCTGAAAAAAAAAAAACTGATATAATATTTTGCCGATTTTTTGTAACAAAATTATTTCATACAACTACTCTTTACAGTGACATGGCTTTTTACAATGCAGGACAGCTGAAATTATTTGTAAAGCTAGGAAATGGGCAAAAAGTGAATTTCGCGAAACAAGAATGGCGACCATTTTGAAAATAGGCGAGCTTTTGAACCAAGAGTCATAGGGGAGTTTTCTGTATTGATGTTGAGCAGAAATAACTTAAAACAGGAATCCTATCGACAGACGTTTTAAAACGTGCCACTGTTATTGACGAAAAGTGGATTTCGCGAGTCAGATAGACAAATCAATGTTAACTAAAATGGCTGAAAATAAAAAAATGGATATAAGTTTTCGCTGATTTTTTGTAACAATATTATAACATATATCTACCCTTTACATTGACATGGATTTTTACAGTGTAGGACACCTGAAATTATTTGTAAAGCTAGGAAATGGGTCAAAAGTGAATTTCGCGAGACAAAAGTGACGGCCATTTTGAAAATAGGCGAGCTTTTGAACCAGGAGTCATAGGGGAGTTTTCTGTATTGATCTTGAACAGAAATAACTTAAAACAGGAATCCTATCGACAGAGGTTTTAAAGGAAATGGGTCAAAAGTGAATTTAGCGAAACAAAAGTGACGGCCATTTTGAAAATAGGCGAGCTTTTGAACCAGGAGTCATAGGGGAGTTTTCTGTATTGATCTTGAACAGAAAAAACTTAAAACAGGAATCCTATCGACAGAGGTTTTAAAACGTGCCACTATTGTTGACGGACAGACAGACAGACGGACAGACGGACGGACGGACAGACAGACGGACAAGTGAGTGATTGCAAAAGCTCACCATGTGAGCTGAAAATAACTCCCTTATATTTTACACTTTTGTACATCATTCAATTTGCTACCAGCCTACCTTATTTCATGACCATCAGATTGATAGTCACAATATGTTACAGTACTTTAAAGAACATGCCCAGTGGCCACTATTGCGTTGTGAGGAAACCTGTACTCATCGTCTGAAATGTCCCTACCTGTGGGGATATGGCAGAGATAGAGTATATGAGAATGACCTCAGGACAATTGCGAACCTCAAAAGTGAGATCATCTGTTTCATTCAGGCCATACCTGCTGAGCAATGCATTCAGCTCATTGACAACTGTGCTGTTTTGCCTACAGCGCGATAATGGTCAAATCTGAAGCATGTTATTCAAAGTGCTGTAAAATTGTGACTATCAGTCTGATGGTCATGAAATATGGTAGGGTGGTAGGAAATTGAATGATGTACAAATGTGTGAAATATCAGGGAGTAATTCCTTAAATTGACAAAGATATAAGGAAAATGCAGGGTTTCCATTTTTTTGACCACCCTGTATTATTAAAGCAGATATGAAATGGTATTTTTAACCTAAAAGGAATCAATATAATTTTTTGATAGATGTATTTGGACATGTTTTCTCATCAGTAGTGTGGAAATTATTTTACTCTAACGATCGTTATTAGCTGCTTAATAAGCAATATTCGAATTGGTTGTGACGTTATTGGCCCCCACGTGATCTCTCACTGGTCCCCACATGGCCCGTTTTGGTCCATTGGATCATGACGTCATAATGCCGAAATGTTTTGTTATTAGTTTACACAACAATCCTATGGTTGCCGTGACGTTGTGATTACTAAGAAACCAATAAACCAAAGCTATATTTTGTATATGACGTTACTTATCATGTGGGGGCCAATTTGATAAATCAGTTAGTTTTATTTCGTTATCTATGACCGTTAGCAGTTATCTAAAATTTACTTCATAATGGCTATCGCAAGAACTCTACGTTGGGCTTACAATGGAGAAAACCGCGTTTTTGTAGCTGCAAGTTGAGAAAAGTTATTTCAGTTGTCCTTTAAATCTCCCAGTCATTTTGGAATTACATGATAGAAATAACCAGGAAGTACATGTACATTTAGTAGTGTAGTATTGTCTCCTTTACCACATCCACATATGATGCCATATATACAGGGTTAATCATACACCTTTTTCAAAATGAATTTCCCTGACATTTCCAGGTAAAAAAGGAAATTTTCAGATCTATAGTTTTGCTTGCATGGCCATACTAAAAAGTCGCAAACAACTGTACGATGTAAAAGACAAGACTTATTATGAAACCTTTTGGGGGTTTCCTTTAGTACTATTTCTCATGACTTAACTTTACTTCTACAGGTCGTCTCATTCAGCAATTTATTCCTGATTCACCATAATTCTAATTTTATATATTTTACATTGCATAAGGCCAAAAGTAAACATACATGTACATGGGCGTAGCAATGTCAAAGGGGCGCAATCTTTTGGGGTTTGCATCACTGCGAGCGAAGGAAACCCAAAAGGGGGTATATGTATATGGTGCATTCTAAGCATTTCAAACTATAACTTGTAAAAGTTCTGTAATGAATCAAAATTTCAAAATTTTGATCTAAAGTCATACTAGAAAAAAGCAACTCCCTTGAGGGGCAATTCCCACCTATAGCTAATGAAACATATTTTTTGGAATGCTGATCATTATGAATATTATATGATAGCATTAACCTGGCATTACTATTATATATTGTCTTCTCCCTTTTGAGAAAATCTGCACCAATCATGATACCGTATTAGTAATTCCTTCTCAAATAGCATCATTATAAGGTACAGGCCTATGATACCAAATCATATAATCGGTATTTGTGTTTTCAGGAATCATATTTTTTTAAATTATCTAATATTTCATAAAAAACAGTTTCTATGTTTTATTTTATGGCATGATTTTTCTCTGCAATTATGTGACATTACTACAACGTATAGTATGCATGTGTCTGAATGTGTTGTATGAAAGATGAGAGGGTATGGGTGGGTAGGAATGTATGGTGTGAAAGGAGGAACGTTTGAAGCCCGGGGGGTTCACTGTTTACAACATTTGTCAGGGGTCCTAAGCTGAACCCTCAGATATCAATATATTCCCATACCAAAATGTCAAATTTGAATGTGTTCCCATACCAACCGATATTTTGCCCAAAAGCCATCCCAAATGCCCAAATATGAAACCAATGCCATACCAAATGTCAAAAAATATAGGACCAATGCCATACCAATGCCATGACTGGTCCAAGGTAGAATATTTCCTGGGAAAAAGCTATTTACTTAAACAGAAGAAGGTCCCAAGAAGAAGGCGATCTTTGAGGAAAATGAACCAAAACAACCTCATATTAGAATATGTGTAACTGCTAGACCAATTCTCGAAATCGTTGTTCCCTCTTCAAAAGAGGAGACGCGAAAATCTTTCCTTATAAGGTCAAAATATTTCCCATGATGCAGTTCGTGGAGGAAAAAATTTATACTTCCTTGTTTTCCCTCATAGGTTTAACATGGGGATTTTCACACCTATTTTTCAAACGATATATTCGTTCATATTCCCGTACGAGAGTACAGAAAAAATTATAAGAAACTATTGATCTCTTATTAATCTTAATATAACAGCTATTTTTTTTCATTGCATTGATTAATAGCGTGGTGAAAACGATGATTGAAAAGTGAGAAAATATTCCGGAGGAGAAGGTCACGTGATCAGTTGACTAGTCGCCATATTGGAAAAAACAATTCCATTCGACTTTCAATACGTTCATGCCAATCTTACCGCACTACAAACTGCAGCACCGATGCAACAACTGAATAAAAGTATTCATCTTCAAATTACATTATAGAGTTACGTTGAAAACCCACAACAACTGAGCAGTAGACCAAAGAAGATGCGTCATTATTATCTAGGTCAATCTGTTCAGTGGTGCGAAAGCAAATCTATAGTACTCGCTTCCGAATTTTTTGTTCATTGTACAGTAGAACCTGCTAAGTGGAACACCTCCATAAGTGGAACACCTCGCAAGTGGAACACTTTTTCAAAGTCCTGTTTTAAAAACCCATTGACTTAATGTTAATTGAACCTCTGTAAGTGGAACACCTCCAAACTTGAACAGTGAACACCCCATATTGAAAAATTAAACTGCCAAGTGGAACAGTCTATTTTCCATTAATTTCAATACTGATACTTATGTAAACAGAATTAACCTCCTACATTGAGTGTCTGGGTATGAAAACAGGTAATAACGTGATTATTGGCAAATTAGGATTTTAACTTTAGCAGATTGGATTAACCTCTTGTAGAGATAAACATGTGATGCTACCACTAATTAATTTGATAATTAGCAAATAAGGATTTCATAAGATTATCATTCATCAAATTGGATTAACCTCCTGTAGAGATGGACATGTGATGCTACCTCTAATTAATACCCCTTGCTGTTTGTTTCAAACTTGATAAGTAAGATTAAGAATGTCACTTAAAAAACAAATGAATTATTAGCAGAAGGAACAAGTCTTCAAAACTTAATCCAAATTAAGCCAAATCTTTGTGCC